CCCTCCCACCCCTCTGCTTCTCCCCTCTCTCTCTCTCCCCCTCCTTATCTCTTTCTAACTGCAGTCAGGTCAGACTTGACTCATTGCTTACTGATCACACAGGAGATTTCCCTTGAAGTAGCTCCTAGTTTTGGACTGCCAGAGAGGTACCACCTTTGAGTAAAACTCACTACAGACTGCACCATCAAAGTTCCTAATGGAAGAGTAAGGAATTAAAATCAATTCTGTTCTAAGTTGGAAATAAAGGCATGGTTTTAATTAAATACAAATTCATTTAAAAATATAAGCAGACTAATTAGTTTAACTCTTTTTAACCCTGAACAGAATCATAAATCCCAACTCTTTGTCCTTTTTCAAATAACAATGTGTTGAGCTATATTCCCCAAAATATGTGTCCACTTGTCCAGGGCATGGTTCCCAAGTAGCTGACTTCCATTGTGTTATTTGATATTATTATACTGCATTTTATAATATTATTTCATTATCCTGCATTTTATATGTTGTAAAGCCTAACCTCCATATGTGAATAAGACAAGATTAGTGTGAGGATGTATCTTGAGTCACAGTCTTACAAGACAGCCTGATTCAAATCATATCCTTTCTCAAGTCATACCCTTATTTTGATGTAAAAAAAAATTCCTAAGGAGTGGTACCCAATACATAAACAGATGTTCAAACAAGTTTCTCCCTTGCTCTCGATACTGCATCTAGCTTGTCATCTGACTGGTCCTTGGGACTTGAGCTAGCAGCATGTCCTTTGCCCTACCATTTCTGGGATTCATCAGTTTTTATAATTCTGTGATCCAGTAGCCTGTCATTTACTCTTATGTTTAGAAGTTTGACAGCTTCTATAGACCCATGGACCAACAGTGTGTCCTCTGATTTACCAGTTGTAGGTTTATCAACGACTGCAACCTCAGGAGAAAGCTCCAACCATAAAAAAAGAACAACTTGAGTAGAGAAAAGAACTTGGCTACTACAAAGAAAGAAGAGCCAAGAGCAGAAAGCACCTTTGAACCCATGGTCCTTTCACTGAGAACCTTCTAGATCCAAGGGAAGACTGATACCAAGACACATGTAGGTATCTTGCTTGAGGAACTCAATGCCCATGGGTGTTGAAAGGATACAAAGACCTTCTCCTAGAGTTAACAGGGAACAAAATCCTTCCCCCTAGAACCAACACTCCAAATGCAGAATTCTAATCTCCTAAAATGATGAGAAAATATATTCCTGGTTGTTAAAATTATCCCCTTGTGACAGCAGCACTAGATAACTAAGAGACACTGTAAGCCCTGTTGGCTATTCCATGATCTTCTGTTGGATGATAAAGAAAACCCCACAAGCACATAGAAAATAAGAGGATTGGAGGCAAGCCAAGCAGGCCCCAGAATAAGTTATTGGCTCAGGGAACTAAGAAGCATGAAATGTGTATACCAGAAACTGGATACCATCTGAGAGAGACTGGAGAGAAATAACAATAAAGCAAGAGAACACTATCAGTTCTCTTCCCCTTTCTTTACAGACAACTTTTCATCCTTTCACTGTATAGTGGCCTTGAGGGTCCATTACCATTTGTCTACAAGTCAAAAGTTCTAGGCACAGCCCAACACCTATAAGAAATATTCCCTTCCCAGTAGGAAATACTCCTAGACATTAGCTTCTGTGAAATTATAAAGTGCATACATTGAAAAAATAAAGGACTCTATAAATACTTAACAATTGTAGCATTTCTACTACTCTGTCCACAAAAAGCCATTACCTCTTTCTTTATGACAGAAGGCTTAATATTACAGAATCTTGCTCAAGTGTAATATTCACTTGATCACTAAGGTCCAATTTTATCAGGGCAATTTTTTATTCCAAGTCACAGTCAAAACCCAATCCAGTTCAACTATTCTGATGTCATATCTTCTATAAAATGACTTTTCTTCTGCCATACTTACTTTCCAGCTCACTGCTTCCCTATATTCCAGAGACTGGTTCAATACTCAGCTCACAGAACCTACTCAGTAAGTTACTGGTAGATTGATGAACACGTCAAAATTCTAATTCATGTACCCTTACTAAAGGTGTTTCAAATAAGAGAAATAATTACTAAGTAAGGTAGCATCTAATCTTCACAACCACCTTGCAAGGTAGGGAAGATTTTCATCCATTTTTCATCTAGGAAATGATACTAGAGTAGATAATTCATTCTTTTGCTCAGGAACTCAGTTATTAAATGGCAAAGCTGTGGTATAAAACCCAATCTCTTGAATATATCTTAATATATTCAAAATCACACCTCCCTTTCTTATACCAGGTTCCTGAGTGGCCCAGTTTACTCTGAGCTATGAACTAAAAGATGGCTGGTTTGAGACTATGTAGTCACACCACAGGAAACCTACTCTGAACTATATAGTGGACTGTGAGTCAGGATTACCTCTATGACAACAAGTCTGGTTGGGGTTTTTATTCTGTTCACCAAACTCTTCCTAGGACACTTTTAAACCCTCACTTAGAGAGCCTCCTGGAGAATGTGGGGATTTACAATGAAATTACATTTTGTGAGGACTGAGGTTTTAAAACAAACAAGTATAACAAAATCATAAAATCAAGCTCATTGCCATCAACTTGACTCAAACTTATAGTGGCCTTATACGACTTAAGCCCTTGTTGCAGAAGATCAAGGAATACAGCTCCCCAATGTCAAGAAAACAAAGATTTTTACCAATGGACCTGCAGGCAGCATCATGGTGGATGGAGAGGAGATTGAAACTGTTAACAACTTCATCTTTCTTGCATCCACAATTAACACCCTTGATACTAGGAGTCAGGAAATAAGAAGACACATTGCACTGGAAAAATCTGCAGTTAGGGACCTTTCCAAATTATTGAGGCGTAATGATGTCAGTTTGAGGAATGAGGTGTGTCTGATTCAGGCCATAATTTTCCCATTCACTTGCTATGCATCTGAGAGATGGATAATGAATAAGGATGAATAAGAAGAATTAATGGCTTTAAGCTGTCATGTTGGAGAACAGCACTGAACATCCCATAGATGGCCAAAAGAACAAATAAGTATGTTTTGGAGACCGTGCGGCTGTAGCGCTCTTCGGAGGCAAGAATAATGAGGCTTCACCTCACATACTTTGGGCATGTTGCTAGGAGGGGATATTCCTTAGAAAAGGACATGATGCTTAGAAGGGTGGAGGGCTGGCAAGAGAGAAGAAGATCCTCAACCGAGTGGATTGACACAGTGACTGCCGCAATGGGCTCTAGAATATCAGGAAGTGTGAAGATGACACAGGATATAACAGGGTTCAGACCTTTTGTTTCTAGGGTCACTCTGAGTCGTATTGGACTCAGCAACACCTAACAACAGCAACAACATAAGAGCGAGTAGAACTGTCCTTTGGGGTTCCCAAAGATATCTTTCTAAAAGCCAACTGTCACATCTCTCTGCTGCAGAGTGGCTAGGAGACTTGAATGACAGACCTTTCAGTTAGTAGTCCAGTACTTAATCACTGCACTACCATAGCTCCTTGGGAAAAATCACTCATAAACAAAATGACCCTTAAAATTACTCTCAAAGTGCACTGTCTGTGATTTTCTGTACTCAATTCTGCAGTGAGAATTATTATGCTGATGGAAATTGAGAACCACTATGGTAGAAAAAAATCATAATGTAGGTGCCCACATATTCCAAGCGTTCAGCTTTTCACAATGGGAGAATGTTTCTGGTTGCTTATAGAGTTTACGCCACACTTTTTTAATGTGAACTATCTTTAGAATGTGTTAAAAGATATATTTGCTGTTGTGACATCTATTCAACCTACTCTCCAACTTCAGAACCTAGCCTGAAATGTCATAACAGCGAGGTTCTAAGTAGTTGAGTCCTAGCGTGGAAACAGTGATACTCAATTACCTATCCTGCCAGAATATATCCAGGGATAAGCGTAGCTCAGTTTCTCAAACAGAGATCTCAGCCATAGTAAAAGGAAAGTCACTCATCAGAAAATTAACACACGCCTTTCCGTGCTACCCACACAAGGGTCCATACAGTGTTGTTCTGGTTCCCGTCATAACTTAAAAGGGAAACTTCCACAATGTCTGGAGCCCTTGATGTCCTGCAGATGAAGGAGGAGGATGTCCTCAAATTCCTTGCAACAGGAACGCATTTGGGCAGCACCAACCTTGACTTCCAAATGGAACAGTACATCTACAAAAGGAAAAGTGATGGCATCTACAACATAAACCTGAAGAGGACCTGGAGGAAGCTGCTCTTGGCTGCTCGCGCCATTGTTGCCATTGAAAATCTAGCTGATGTCAGTGTCATTTCCTCTAGAAATATAGGCCAGAGAGCTTTTCTGAAGTTTGCTGCTGCTACTGGGGCCACTCCTGTTGCTGGGTGCTTCACTCCTGGAACCTTCACTAACCAGATCCAGGCAGCCTTCCGGGAGCCTCATCTTCTGGTGGTTACTGATCCCAGGGCTGACAACCAGCCTCTGACAGAAGCATCTTACGTTAACTTGCCCCCCATTGCTCTGTGTAACACAGATTCTCCTCTGCACTACGTAGACATTACTATGCAACACAACAACAAGGGAGCTCACTCTGTGGGTCTGATGTGGTGGATGCTGGCCCGGGAAGTCCTGCTCATGCGTGGCACGATCTCCCAGGAGCCACCATGGGAGGTCATGCTTGATCTGTACTTCTACAGAGATCCGGAAGAGAATGAAAAGGAAGAACAGGCTGCTGCTGGAAAGGCTGTGACCAAAGAGGAGTTTCAGGGAGAATGGACGGCCCCTGCTCCTGAATTCACTGCTATTCAGCCTGAAGTTACAGAATGGACCAAAGGTGTCCAGGTGCCCTCTGTGCCGATTCAGCAGTTCCCTACTGAAGACTGGAGCACTCAGCCTGCAACTGAAGGCTGTTCTGCAGCCCCCACTGCTCAGGCCACTGAGTGGGTGGGCACCACCATGGAATGGTCTTAAACTGTCTTTTAAAAAGTGGAAATAAGGTTGACAGAAAATAAACAATGCGTTTCATAAGAAGGAAAAAAAAAGAAAATTAACACACAACTATTTGTCTCTATCCTGTGTGTCTATATTGTTGTTGTTGTTGTTATTGTTGTTACATGTCATCGAGTTGTCCATAACTCATAGCAATCCTATGCACAATGGCTCTAAACTCTTTCCCATCCTGAGTGAGTGTCACTGACTCCAACACGCCTAACCCATTGCCTCAGTTACCATTTCAACCCATCTCATCCAAGGTCTTCCTCTCCTGCACTGTCCCTCCATCCTTCCAAGCTTGAAATCTTTCTCTAAGGACTAGTCCCTCCTGGCCAAGTATGAGAGACAGAGCTTCAGAATCCTTGCCTCCAAGGACAAACTTAGTTTCATTCATTCCAAAACAGACTTATTTGTTCTCCTTGTGGTCCATAGTATATCCAATACTCTTCTCCAGCACTACAACTCAAAGGCATCAATTTTTCTTCTGTCATCCTTAGTCATTGTCCAGCTCTCTGATGCATAGCAAGAAATTGCAAGGACCATGGCCTGCATCAGGCACACCTTAGTCTCTAGGTTAACATCATTGCTTTTGGCACTTTGGAGGGGTTCCTGACAGAAGACTTCCCCAACATAATCTGTCTTTTGATTTCCTGACTGCTGATGCCAAGCGTATTGATTGTGCAGCTGAGCAAACTGAAACTGTTAACCATTTCAATCTTCTCAATCTATTATGATGCTGCCAATTAGCCCAGTGATGAGTATCTTTGTCTTCTTGATGTTAAGCTTCAATACATATTGAAGACTACAGTCCTTGACCTTCTACAGCAAGCACTTCAGGTCTTCCTCAGCGTCAGCAAGGAAGGTTGTGTCATGTGCATAATATAGGTTGTTGATGAGTCTTCCTCCAATTCTGATGCCGCATTCCTCCTCATAAAGCCCATCCTCCCGAATGATCTGTTCTGCATGCTGTTTGAAAAGGTATGGAGACAGAATGCAACCCCAACTCACTCCTTTCCTGATTTTGAATCATGAAGTGTTTCTCCGCTCTGGTCTGAGGACTGCTTCCTGGTCCAAGTATAGGTTTTACATAAGCACAATCAAGCATTCTGGAATTCCCATTCTTCTCAAGGTTAGTTACAATTTGTTGGGATCCACACAGTCAAATGTCTTTGCATAGACAATGAAACACAAATAAACATTCCTCTGGTACTGTCTGCTTTCAGTCAAGATCCATCTGACATTGGCAATAATGTTTCTAGTGCCATGGCCTCTTCTAAACCCAGCCTGTATTTCTGATAGTTCTCTGCATGGACATAGTCATAACTTTTTCCTTCTTCCTCCTTCTCTTTTTTATTCCTTTGATATGTACACTAGTAGTTTTTGTTGTTGTTGTTTAGGGCTTCTCAGACACACTTCTAAAATACTTAGTAATAGTCTCAGTTATAGGCTGTTGTTGTTGTGTGCCGTCCAGTCACCTGAGACTCATAGTGACCCTATGAACGACCCTGCTCCATCCCTTGCCAATATCATTGTCTCCGACATGTCCATCTCCATCATATCAGTGACTGAATCAATCCAACTCATCGAAGGTCTTCCTCAGTTATACAGCACACTAAATTTCCCTTGATGTTTGTGATTTTTGTTATCCCTTTGCAGGTATAGTTTCTTTTTCCGTTTACTCTGAGACAGTCTGAGCTATAAAACAGAAGATTTAAAGGATCTCTTGTGGCCTGGTGACAAGAAGCTGTGCTAAAATGCCCAAGGTTTGTGGTTCAAATAATCCACCAGACCAGACGCTTCACTGGAGAAAGAGGGGCAATCTCCTCCTGTGCCAGGCGGATCCAATTCTGACTTGTACACGGGGGGGGGGAGGGGGGAACACACAGAAGATTCACCTTTCCCAGTTCTTTTTCAACCAAATCTGTGTGAATATTGAAGTGATTTTTGTCACATTGAATCCTAAATGTGTATTCTAAAGGGAAAAGCAAGAAGTCCATGGACATTCCCCACCAACATGTCCACAAAACTGAGAAGAAGTTTCAAGAACAGAGAAGAAATTAGGGATTCAAGGTTTACAGATACCACAGCAGCACCATGGGAAGATGTTATCCCTGCACTTTTCACTATAAAATAATTCCAGTCTATTGCTTTCATTTCCTTAGTTGTTTTCAAAAACTTTAAGACATGTTCACAGTAGCCTTCATCTTTACAAGAAAAGTTACTTATGGAGATACACAAAAGGGTAACAATTTGAACTCATAAAGTATCAACACAAAAATAGAGTTAAGGTCTTATTAAATTGATTAGGGAAGCCAGAAGCTTTCTGGTTGGAAGTAACTTGGTCAGGAAGTCAAAGCCTCGAAGAAGAAAAAGCAGTAAAGCTTTGATTAAAATTCCCATTGCTGGTTATATTTATATGCCCATTCAGGTGCTCATAAAGGAAAGACATTTTTATTAAGAACATTGTAGATCACTTTGAATACATTTCACTGTACTTTTCTGTGCTCCTTCCTCCATCTCTCTATAATGATATAAATTAAAGGGCAAAGGCATCAGGTGATAATGATGGATTTTCTCAGCTATTTGGCCTGTGCCGCAACAAACCTTAATATTATTTTAGGGATGTGAGTTATTTGACCTAGAAGGATCAGCCTGTTCAATACATGCAGTGAGAGTGCTGAGGAATTAGCTTGCTTAGCCTAGGGCAATCAATAGATTGACAAACTAGCCTTTTTTAAGTCCATGGTCTATTTTATAAGAATATTAAGCTTGTGGTGTTCATACAACAAAGGGACCTGAAGCCAGCACAAAAAGATTTCACAGTTGAAAGCATTCACAGGGCACTTTTCTATCTTTAAAGAAGTTCTCATATACACAGAACCAGGCAAAGGCAAGGGGGAAGGAGTGGTGGGAAGCTAATAGACACAGGCATTCATCTGAAATAACTACAGACAGGTTCAAAAATTACACAAACACAGCCTTGAACATCTAGGAAGAGAGAAAAGGTACGTTGTGTGAATTCTCCTGTAGCTGCTGCAACTTCAAACAAGGTTCCTATTGCTATTTTGAAAATGGGATGGAAGAGAAAAATAAGGAGTAAAAGATGGGAAAGTGTGATAATGAACCAAAGCATTATTTGTGCCCTTCCTGGGATCTCACGTGTAAATTTCACACCCCAAACCATACTACCCTACTATGGCTGAAGGCAGAAGAGTATGTTAAGTTCATGGGGGGGAGAGGGGAGGCTTGCTCTGACTGTATAAAACCTCTAGCAAATTATCTGATTATAAGATTCTGATCAGCAGCATATGAGCGGATGGGAAGTGTCAGAGGAAGACAAGCCTGGGATGCAGATTTGCAGGCTTGTCAGCCTACTCAGATGTCACCACTGGCCTCCTGATCAGTCACTGGGAATTGATTAAATGCATCCCCCACCCCCCTACCGAAAGCTAATAGAGGAAGTAGATCTCTAAGCCACTGCAGGCTACAGGGGCCTTGATTTGGGGCAGGAAGGATAGGAAAAAGAAATATCCCTGCATTGGACTCCTTTGTTATTATCATGGGCTTTCCCATTATGGCGATGTTTATTACTTTCTCCCTCTCTCGGGATTTTAAAGCATCCCCTATTGAAAAGACAGAATCTCATGCAGTGGATTTTGATTAGAAGCTCATATTCATTGCTCTCCTAATAGTAACCTTATGTGGAAAAAAAATTACAGAGGTCTGTAATCCCAAGCTGGAGAACTGTAGTATTTCAAACAAGCAGTATGGTAAATTACAAAACAAGCAAGAAATTATTCTATTAAAAAAGACAGTGTGAGCTATTTCCCTCGAGAACGCATTAATAGCCCCCTTACTGATCCCTCTGGTGTGTATGCGAGGAGAAATCCAGCTTTTCTAATGCAATCCACCACACCACCACCAAGGCCAAAGAAAGGAGCTGAAGGAGGAAAATCAGCGCCAGGGACGAGCAGGCACCTGGTAACGAGAAGCATTGATTACACTCCTCTTCAGTGCAAGATGCTGACAGGGCCCCACGGTAGGAAAAGCTGGCGACCAAATAGCGTCTCCTGAGCTCTGCCAGGTCAGAAGGTGTTACTATTCATACATGTAAATCAATAAGCAAGGAGCAGAGGTTAAAAGAGAGGGAGGCAAAAGATGCCAGGAAGAAAAAGACTTCTGCTCTTGGCCTCAGGATTGGAGTGGCGGGCATTATGGTAAACATAAAAACTCTGAAATTCTCCATTCCAATTCACAGGTGCTTTGCTTAAAAAAAAAAAAAAAAAAAAGCGTGTTTGTGTTTAGGAAAAAACCTGCCAAATTTTGTTTCATCACTGAACAGCTGGTCTTTCAATTTCTGGTTAAGCCCCTCTAAATCTCTGCCTTGATTAGTCTAATTATGCTTAAAATCTACTTAAAACTGAATATCAATTCAATTCGGTTCAGCAGTAACCACAGCAATATCATCATTCATTCTACTCTATGGACTTTATCCTGGAGGTGCCCAGCCAACACCTTCCAGGGTAAATAAATCGAAAGGCCTATGTGACATATTGGATAACTACTTGGATGCTCTGGAGACACACAGCAGAGAAAATCGTAGCTTTCCCATGATGACTAAGCATGTGCTTGTTCTTCCTGGATTTTCAGAGATGTTGCCACTTTGATTTTGGTTATGATAATACACTTACAACATCACAGTGGGCTGGCTTAGCAGCTGATGGAGACACCCTGAAGTTCCTCAGGCACCATTAAAAGAGCATCTTCACTCTGTATAAGCCAACCACAGGCCAAGAAGAAGGGGCCAGGCATGTGTACTCCAGGAAATGTCAGAAACACCAGAATGAGGAAAGGAGCAAAGTCATCAGCAGCCTTGATTAATTGAGGAGTCATTACTGAACCAGAGCCTAAAAGCATCAATAAGATTATGACCAATAATCAGCATGTTTGTGCAACCTTAACTTAGCAAAGCTCTGGTT